ACTTCAGTCCAGCACATCACATGAGATGGGAGAGGAAACCTGACCTTGGATTTATAAAAAGAAACTGGGATAAAAGGGGACTGATGGAGTGCCAGAAGTTGCTGTCCAGAGAGTTTGGGAGGAAGTGGGAATTAAAGGTGGATTGGTTGGTTTGAGAGCGGCCGCGTTGCTAAGGGGCTGCATTGTCCGGGAAGTTACAGTGAGAAACTTCGCTCCGACGTGCGATTTTACACCGCTCTTTGTTGACACCTCCCGAAGGTGGGCTCGGGGTGCTCAGGGCAGCAAGGCTGCTGGTCTGCCTTCTGTGCTGCTGCTGGAGTCAGGCGTACACACTCCACTGCATTTGCTGTGCCCGGGTGGCTGTGCTAAAGTCTTTGTTCTCCTGATTATCATATTTGTAGCTACAGGAAATCGGAAGGGAATGCAGACAGTTCACTGGAGGAAAGGCAATTAGCATACATCCAGTTATTATTTAACGTGAAGGAGACTGCACAAGCCCTTTGTAGCTGTGCTGGCGTGATGAGGAGTGTCAGCATTTCAGCAGAAATGGTCTGAAATGACAGCAGTGTGGCTGGTGCAGCGTTCAGTGTAACTGATCCTTCCCACGGACTTCCAGGAATTTTATGGACTGACCGTCAAGAAGACCATCATTGTTTTGTGTGGTGATGCTGGGGATGCTCAGCATGGGTGGGTGAGGGCTTTGGAGCGCCCTGATGAATTGTACACAATTAGCGGGACACTTTGCAGGCTCTTCTCCAGCGGTAGAGGCTTGGCCATGTGTGACCGCAGGGTGGTTTAGGGTAGAAAAGTACTTTTAACAGGTGCCTGAGGCAATCAGCATGTGACTGGTTGTGAGTTTTGTTTTAACACACCTCAGGCTGTAATGTTGCACAGGCTCCAAGTGNATTGGCCATCCCCAGGGACTGGGATTGCTGGGACACACAGGGACATGCCCTGAGTGGGATCGGGTCATCCTCAGGGACTGGGATTGCTGGGAGCACACCTGGGAGGTGGGAGTGTGGAGGAGATGCTGTCCAGGGCTGGTGAGCCCCACCTGGCATCACCTGTGGCCAGGTTGGGTGTCACCTGTGTTGGGTGTCCCCACTCTGGGACGCTGAATGTGCTTCTTCTGGAGCAGGGCTTGTTGTTAATGGTAACAGCAAACGCCTGCTGGAGGAGCAGCAGAGCCCACAAAGATGCTGAGGGGTTTGGGGCATCTCTGTGAGGAGAGACTGAGGGAGCTGGGTCTGGTTAGGATGGAGGAGAGGACACAAATACCCGCAGAAATGCCCAGGGGATGGTGCCAGACTCTGCTCACTGGTGCCCCATGGCAGGACAAGGAGCAGTGGCCAGAAACTGAAATACAGCAAGTTCCACCTCAACATGAGGAAGAACTTTCCATGTGGGTGGGAGAGCACTGGAACAGCTGCCCAGGGAGGGTGTGGGGTCTCCCTCTCCAGACCCATTCTTGTGTCACCTGCTCTCAGTGGCCCTGCCTGGGGAGGGGTTGGACTGAGTGATCTCCAGATGAGCCCCAGCTGCTCTGTGATTCTCTGTGTTGGACTTGCAGCTCTGATTTTCCCTTGGTGGGCTTTCACACCCCCAGGTGCAGGGGTGCAGCCAGATGTGCTCTGGTTTTGGAGGATCACATGGGTTGTGCTTTTTTGCTTCTGAGGCCAGGGATGCTGGCAGTTCACCCCCAGCTGCTGCAATTTGTATCTGAGCCAAACAAAATGGGAGCATCACCTGCTTCAAAGGAAGGAATTGCAGAAAAACTGGGAATTTGCTGCTTTCTTTGATCTCTGAGTTGCTTGGATGTTCCAAGATTTGTTCTTTAGATGCTGTATTTATCCAGTGAGCTTAAGGGAGCTGCATCCCTGCTGGGAGGGAGGGAGGGGTGGCAGCTTATGGCTGGGGTTTGTGCAGGAGGAGCTGTGTGTGGTGTCACAGGGTTGTCCTGCTGCTGGAAGCCTCCTCAGCCCCATCTGGGCAGGGATTTTTGGAAGGATTGCACTTGGTGCTTTTTTTTGTTGTGGATGACCTGCTTGAGGCAGCAGCAGTCTGGGAGCCACAGAGGTGGTGGAGTAAAAGAATTATTGCAAGAATTGGGTTTTTTTATGGCCAAACCAATGCATGGGGATGTGCAGGAGGGCACTGGGGTGTGCCAGGCACAGCTGGGTCCTGTCTGGGTGGGCAGACCCCAGCCTGGGCTCCAGGGACACATCCCAGCCCCTGAGACAAGGTGGTCCCACCACAGCTGGGTGTTCCTGCAGCAGTTTTGTCTGGTTTTAATCTGAGATCCCATAAATAATCTGCTTTTACTGTCCTGAACATGTTCTGTGGGGGGATTTGGGGTACTGACAGTGAGGCTGTTTCAGTCAGAAACTGGGGGTCAGAATTCCATCCTGCAGTTTGGGACTCAGCTGTGCTCAGGCTTGTCAGCCATGGCAGATTCCCAGTATTTCTGGGATTTTTACCAACAATAACATTCAGCACTAGCTTGATGACCAGAAGACTGTTGAGATGATGCTGTAAACCTCCTTCTCACATTATTTAACTTCCACCCTGCCACAAGCTGGGACACTTGAGCAGATTTCACCCTTCAAGTGAAGTTCCCTTTAGTAAATCACCGTTCTCCTTAGGTGTATTCTCCCGAGCTGCCCCAGGTGCAGCCCTGCTGTCAGACCCAGTGCTGTTCTGCACTTTGGGCTGCAGGAGGT